AGCCCCCAAGAAGATAAAATACTTAGGAATAAATCTAACCAGTGATGTAAAAGACCTATACAATGAAAACCACAAGACACTACGGCAGGAAACCAAAAGAGACCTGCATAAGTGAAGGAACATACCTTGCTCATGGATAGGAAGATTCAACACTGTGAAAATGTCAATTCTACCCAAAGCGATCAACAGATACAATGCAATCCCAATCCAGATTCCAACGGCATTTTTTACTAGACGGAGAAAAAAATCACCAACTTCATATGGAAATGGAAGAGGCCCCGGATAAGTAAAGCATTACTCAAGAAGAGCAAAGTGTGAAGCCTCACACTACCTGATTTTAGAACCTATTATACTGCCACGATAGTCAAAACAGCCTGGTACTAGTAGAACAGATACACACACCAATGCAACAGAATTGAGAATCCAGACATAAATTCATCCACCTATGAGCAGCCCAAAGTCCATTAACTGGGGAAAAGAGTCTCTTTGACAAACGGTGCTGGCATAACTGGATATACATCTGCAAAAAACTGAAACAAGACCTATACCTCACACCATGCACAAAAACTAACTCAAAATGGATCAAAGACTTAAATATAAAATCGAAAACAATAAAGATCATGGAAGAAAAAATAGGGACAATGGCATAAACAGAATACGAACCATAAGTAACAATGCACAAGCACCAGAAGAGAGACAAAACTGGGAGCAACTAAAAATCAAACACTTATGCTCATCGAAAGACTTAACCAAAAGAGTCAAAAGACAACCTACAGACTGGGAAAAAATTTTTGGCTACGACAAATCCGATTAGCATCTAATCTCTAAAATCTACAAGATACTGCAAAACCTGAACAACAAAAAGACAAATAACCCAATTAAAAAATGGGCAAAGGATATGAACAGGCACTTTACCAAAGAAGATATTCAGAAGGCTAACAGACACATGAAGAAATGCTCACGATCATTAGCCATTAGAGATGCAGATCAAAACTACAATGAGATATCATTTCACCCCAACAAGGCTAGCATTAATCCAAAAAAACACAAATAAATTTGAAGAGGTTATGGAGAGACTGGAACACTTATACACTGTTGGTGGGAATGTAAAATGGTATAACCACTTTGCAAATAGATTTGCCACTTCCTTAAAAAGTTAGAAATAGAAGTATCATATGATCCAGCTATCCTGCTCCTTGGAATATATCCTAGAGAAATAAGAGCCATCACACAAATAGATATATGCACACCCATGTTCACTGCAGCACTGTTCACAATAGCAAAAAGATGGAAGCAACCTAGGTGCCCATCAACAGATGAATGGATAAACAAATTATGGTATATCCACACAATGGTATACTACACAACGATAAAGAACAATGATAAAGTCGTGAAACATAACATGGAGGAAGCTGGAGGTCATTATACTGAGTGAATTTAGTCAGTCACAGAAGGACAAATATTGTTTAAGACCACTATTATAAGAACTCAAGAAAAGATTTAAACTCAGAAGAAAACATTCTTTGTTGGTTACGAGGGTGGGGAGGGAGGGAGAGGGTTATTTACTAACTAGATAGTAGATAAGTATTATCTTAGTGAAGGGAAGGACAACACACACTACAGGGGAAGTCACCACAACTGGACTAAAAGCCAAGAAGTTTCCCAAATACAGTTAAACACTTTGAGG